AGTCACGAAATGCCATTTCTGAAAAACCATGAAATGCCTTGAAATCCTTGAAATGCTTTGAAATTCCTTGAAATGCCTTGAAATACCTTGAAATGCCATGAAATGGGTTGAAAATGCCTTGAAATACTTTGAAATTTCTTGATATGCCATTAAATTCCTTGAAATACCATGAAATGCCTTGAAATCCTTGAAATGCTGTGGAATTCCTTGAAATGCCTTGAAATACCTTGAAATGCCATGAAATGAGTTGAATTGCCTTGAAATGCTTTGAAATATTTTGAAATGACATGAAATAGAATGAAATGCCATTTCTGAAATATACCATGAAATGCCATGAAATCCTTGAAATACTTTGAAATTTCTTGAAATGCCATTAAATTCCTTGAAATGCCATAAAATGCCTTAAAATTTTTTGAAATATTTTGAAATGACATGAAATAAAATGAAATGATGAAATGATCCCGAAATGAATGAAATGCTTCCGAAATGGATGAAATACTTACGAAATGGATGAAATTCTTACGAAATGCATGAAATGCGAAAATGCTTGGGACACTTTCTTACAAGTGGCAGAGATTATACACTATGATCTCTGCTAGTGGTAACCCCCTCGGTATATTGTGTAACTCCATTTGAAAGTTTCGATTAGAAGTACGCGGAAGTACAGGGCTAGTTTTATTAATGTGAACCCCCCTTCATCTTCTTTGTTTCCTATACATTCAAGAAGATTCAAAGCTGATTTTTTTACGATATTCCATATTGGTTTCAATCATATTGAGAGAGTGTTGCAATATCCCTTCAAATATACAGGGTATACAGAAATATATTGGTTATTTATATGGAATGTGCTGTATATTTTGATGGATAAAGATCCTTCTATATATATGTTTGAAATCAGGATGATTTAGGGAATTCAAATTTATCGAAATATACAGGGCATTTCATTTGAAAAATATATTTATTTCTGTATACCCTGTATATTTGAATAGATATTGCATCATTGTCAAAATGAGTGAAATCTGTGCGAAAAATTGTATAAAATCAGTTTTGACATTTTTCGAATGGGTGGAAAACAAAAAAGATAGAGGGTGGTTTACATTAATGAAACTAGCCCTGTACGTTCGGAATATGAAGAAGCGTATGATATCATTGGAATTCAAAAAGGATATTATTATTTGTTTTATGATAGTGATATAGGCCCTGAGTACTCGGAATGCACGGATTTTGTATAGGTATATGAGGATGCATGCTGAAGCCAATTTATTTTACCTCCCACGGGAGTTAATATTTTTTCCTCCCGTGGGAGGCAATTGACAACTTTGTTTCCTTACATGAGGGAGCAAACTCCTACCTTCGATTCAATGAGTAGATGTAAATATAAATGTGGCGTAAATTCGACTGGTGCGAACAACCCCATTGCTATGGTGGACCCATCACTCTTCAATTGTTTCGCCAGACTAACTCTCGATATAAACAATTGAATTCGAGACCAAAGCGTGAGATTTTCAGATTCTATGTTCTAGATTTTTTTGGGCTCTCTTCGCTTCTTTCAAAAACTTTCAAAAAGCGTGTCGAGTCTTATGAAGTTCAGTCTGAATCTATCGAAGCTCTCCCATCACGTGATATGCTGAGATTCCTGTTATTCGAGTATTATTTGCAAAAAAAAATTGTGGACGCCGAGTTTGGTCAGAAAAATGTACTCTTTTCCGCTATAGTAGTATGGAATCGGCCCACTGTGTTCATTGGTGTATTTATTCTAGGCCTTCAAGAATGTGTTTCCCCTATTCTTTCGGGATCTAAGGATCCCGTTATAATAATTCTAGATTTTCTGCGAGCAAATAAGCAGTCGTCCAAAATGTATCACGTGATTCATTGTGACTAATAAGGACCCACATATGGAATTCTTCTCGTCAATTATTGTGGCAACAAATGAAAAATTATGAATCGATGACATCTTGACTCGACATCTGTTATCTGTCACGTTTTGGTCTTATTCATAATTTCGTTCAAATTTCAAATTGAAATATTATGAATCATTGTCAGTGGTATCACTGCGGTATTGATTGAAATTCCTAGTCATGTTTTATCTGATGATGATTTAACACGATCGTCACTGGGATATATGAAGTAGATATAGATATAAGCTATTTATCATGGACTGACGTTAATGCATTGGTTGCAGATCATATAAAAATATGAAAATCCGTTTTTTTTTTTCAGAACCAAAAGTGGGTGCCGGAATTATTGGCCACGTTTATACCGCGTCTTAGTTAGCTGACTAATGACTATATTTCAACTAAATACTATTGGTCACAATGGCCAGTGTGGTATAAAATATAAACTGTACAGTTGGTCAAGTTACCAGCTTGGTTTGGTCACAGAACTGAGTTCTGTGGGTTTGGTTTTGAACTTTCTATTGTAGTTGAAAACACCCTGTCAGTTTCCACAAAAATTGTGAAGATGAAAATGTGAAGCAAGCAAGATTTTCCCACGTTTCGCAATTTTTCGAAGTATGCGATATAAACAGATTTTCACAACTCTTTCCAATAGGATGTAATTACATCATTTGATTTTTTGAATTGACTTTGACTCGGCCGTTACTTGATGGAAATCCATAGTAAATTTAAGAAACTTAAACGATAAGATTTCCATTGTACGAGTAATTCACCTGAAGAAGCTCACTTATATGATCAGCAATGTTGTGGAAATCTTATCGGTTGCAAAATTTTCAACATACTCCATTCGAATTTCTATACATCTACACAGGGTTTTCATATACAGGGTAACTCACGGTCCATGGTACGTTAGACGTTTACGGAGAACGGGACATAGGATCATTCTGAAATTTTGGTTACTCACGTAGTTGCTCTTGGTCTATCGATCTAATATATTTTCAGCTCTGCGGCGTTGCCGCTTCTATCGAAAAGTAGCAACAACTTTGTTATTTTAAATGGAACACCCTGTATTTTATTGCATTTTCAGATTCTCTCTGAAGAGCTGATTTCATCGATGTATCACACTTGGGGTCTAGCGGAAATGATTACAGAGATATAGGGTGTGAAAAATCGACATTTTTCAACTTTAGGAATTTTTTTTGTCGAAACTATTCATTATTGGTCAAAACGGCTCACATGTCCCTATCTCAACTTTTGATCAACTATCTACTGACATTTAATTGAAACGAATACAGGGTGGTGCAGAATTCAGAATCTTGATCACCCGGTATATGTCCCAATTAAATATCAGTAGATAGTTGATCAAAAGTTGAGATAGGGACATATAAGCCGTTTTGACCAATAATGAATAGTTTCGACAAAAAAAATCCTAAAGTTGAAAAAAGTCGATTTTTCACACCCTATATCTCTGTAATCATTTCCGCTAGACCCCAAGTGTGATTCATCGATGAAATCAGCTCTTCAGAGAGACTCTGAAAATGCAATGAAATACAGGGTGTTCCATTTAAAATAACGAAGTTGTTGCTACTTTTCGATAGAAGCGGCAACGTCGCAGAGCTGAAAATATATTAGATCGATAGACCAAGAGCAACTACGTGAGTAACCAAAATTTCAGAATGATCCTATGTCCCGTTCTCCATAAACGTCTAACGTACCATCGACCGTGAGTTACCCTGTATATGCCCGATCATAGCAATGGAATAGTACCGATCTCTGCTCATGTTGTTTACACACATTGAATGCTTAACGAAAAGAAGTGCATATAAATCTTTAGAACCATTCCTATCACGTGATATGTTGAGATTCGTGTTTTTAGATGATTATTTGAGGCTGAATTCGGCCAGAGTGTTTTACTCTAGTCCACTAATAGTATGGCGTCAGCCCACTGTGATCATTTGTGTAGTGATTTAGGCGTTCAAGGATGTTTTTCCTTCCTCTCGAGACCCCGAGGGCCTTGTTAATAATTTTTCTACGAGCGAGTGATTCACTAAATCTTTAGGCTCTCGTGACCGAATGTGTTGTTATAGTTCAATCTCCATAAGTGGCAAGCAGCAGGCAGCAAATATTACACATTACACACTACATTTTTTTAGCTTCATCTGGAAGGGTGTTTGTATGTATATGTAACCGACTCTCTTGGACTCGATTTTGATCCACTTTAAACGGACCGATTGATTTGAAATTCGGCAGGTGTACATAATTCTGGTGACTATGCATCATGAAATTTTCGTTAGACATAAGGAAAAAACAAAATGGCGGCTCCAGAATGGCTGCCGAGTTTTGTAATTATGATCCGATTCTATTTAAAATTGGTATCTGGCGGCTTTTGAGGTCGGACATTATGATTCTTTCGTCAAAATTGACGAATTCAAGATGGTGGATCCAATAAGGCGGACGAGTTTTGTAATTATGATACGAATGTATTCAAAATTTTCAATTGGGGGTTTTCGGGATCGGAGATTATGATTCTTTGGTCAAATTTTGAGAATTCAAGATAGCGGATGCAATATGGCGGACGAGTTTTGTAATTATGATCCGATTCTATTGAAAAATTGTATCTGGGGATTTTAGGGATAGGAGAACTTAAAAAATTCAAGATGGCGGATCCAATATGGTGGACGAGTTTTGTAATTATGATCCGATTCTATTTAAAAATTGTATCTGGGGATTTTCGGGATAGGAGAAACTTGAAAATTCAAGATGGCGGATCCAATATGGTGGACGAGTTTTTGAGGGTTTTCGGGGTTGGAGAATATGATGCTTTGGTCAAATTTGGAAAATTCAATATAGCGGATACAACATGGCGAGCGGGTTTTGTTATCATGATCCAATTCTATTGAAAATTAGTATCTGGGGGTTTTTGGGGTAGAAGATTATGATTCTTTCGTCACTAAATGGGGAACTGACAAAAAGTATAAGAGCACTGAACACGCTCTTGCAGTTAGCGGAACTAAAAAATAGAAAATAAATAGAAGTTTGAAAAACTAAAGGCTGTTCAGTTTTTCAAACTTCTATTCATTATAGACCCGATATCTCCCTACTTACGTGTTCATCAACAGAATAATTCAGCTTGCCATCGTCATAGAGAACGAACCACCTGCGCTGCCATCTCTGAAACAGAAAAAAAAACGGCACCTGAATAAACACGTTTTGTTTTCGACACAATGCAAAGACGATTCGAATTGCCGACACAGAATTATTATTGAGAGAGAAAAAAATCGGTATGTACCAAGCCCCTTCACACGACGGATTACGGCCGTGAGAATATCTTCAGTTCGGCCTCAATTACCGTCATAAAGACGTAAACGAGGAAGAATCTTCGGGACCTGCGGATCGCCGAAGACATATTTCACGAGTACGGTTGCGTAAGATGCGAAAATCCAAATGACGGCGGTGTTGGATTGTGCTTATAGTCCAAAAGCCGAATGCACATTTCGACAGTCATCTGATAACGAAATGATATACAGGGTGTCCCAGAACAACGTACATTAAATTCAACAGGGTGAACCAGAGTTCAAAATAGGTCGATTGAGACGAAAATGCACCCGTGAGAGAATGGAATTTTTTTTTCAGATTTTATTGAATATTTCAAAATCCTTGAGAGGTAATGCTCTGAAATTTGGAAGGCAATCCACTATAAGAAGTGTGCATAGATAACAGGTCTCATCAAATGAGATCTTTATAACTCAAAAAAAAATTTAACCATATCCCTAAGGTTAAAGCAGATCCCAGAGAACATGCAAAACCTTTTTTCATTGAATTCGAAATTCTCACAATAACTAGTCTGTACATAATAGAAGCGATCATATTCGTACATAATAACAAACATAAGTATAATACTGGATCAATGATTCACAACTAAAATACACAAAATAAGGACCTTATTAGATTAACCAAAGTGAACTCGATGAAAACTGCTAGACAAACAGAATTTTATTACTGTAAGATATATAATACTCTACCACTATCATGGACCAAGTTTACTCTGAAAAAATTGAAATGGTATGTTAAAAGGGCACTTGTGAGTCAGGCCTTTTATTCCATATCCGAAGTTTTCAATTTCAAATAATAAACATGAATACGTGACCAAAATATCAACATGAAGGAGGAAGAAACCTGCAGAACACGATAACTCTGATCTCGACTCTGATATCTTGAACTATGGATGAGATGGAGGGACTCCGAAACAATTTTTTCTGATATCTCGTAAACCAAGCAAAATTTAGAAAGAAATGTAGTGAGAAAAAGATAGATAATTGATTTTGTTATTCAAGTAGATATTGAAATATTGTCAGTGGCGTACTAAAAAAAAGTTCTATGGATTTCCTCTGACTGTATATCGATTGCACTGATGAGACCTGTTATCTATGCACACTTCTTATAGTTGACTGACTTCCAAATTTCAGATCATTACCTCTCAAGGATTTTGAAATATTCAATGAAATCTGAGAAACAAATTTACATTCATCGCCCTCTCACGGCCCAACGGTGCATTTTCGTACAGAGGTAAGTTGGTCCCAATCGACCTATTTTCAACTCTTGTTCACTCTGTTGAATTTAGTGTACGTTGTTCTGGGACACCCTGTATAAAGGGACGAGGAGAAAATCCCGAAAATCTAGAGAAATGGAAATTCAGTGCGAAACTACTGACTTATTCAGTTTTGAGATCTTTGGGTTCCCCTCGGTTCACACTTTACAATTACTCGTCACGTAGATGAAAATTAATTATTTCAGCTAATTTTTTCCATAAATTTGGCACATATCTTCACATTTTGAAAGTATCTTCACTACTCTGATCGATTGAATACTATTGTTTATCTAGATAGTTTCATAACATATAAACCATCACCCTGTACATACCAACTGGCCATCGACCTTACGAGAGGTCCTTCAGCCCATGTGTGTTCTGTGTAGGCTTTGTTACTAACCCCATACGCCACCTTAGGAGCAGCACTGTTAATTGGAACGCAACAGGAAATTGCTATTTCGCCGTCTATGCTCATTGTAATATCTTCATTAGTTATTGAGATTGTATTACTATTATGTTAGATAGCATATTCGAACGGTGTGTTAAGCTGTGCTGTGGTAGTAAGTAAAAGTGTAAATTTTATATTTCAGAGCTGTCAGAAGATATTGCAGAAAAACTGATACTTACATAAATACAAAAAGCTCGAGTCATTTCCACACAGTTTTCATAAAATTAACAACTACTTTCCTGGCTAATGCCACGCAGCTCATTGAATTACATCCTCCCGAAATTTATGCATCGTCTCATATAAACTAATACTGATACAAGTGATTCTTTCCTGAATGCCTATAGATTTCGATTTAGGCAGGCCACGCTAGACACCTACAGACCGGTTTCGAGCTCTTTGGCTCTCATCAGTGCAGGGCAGTCTCCAGCCAGCAGTCCTAAGACCGCCGACTAAGCGTAGCCTAGCCAAACAAAAATCAAGTCGGCATTATATTCCCCCAGAGGCGTCCTCCATAGACAATATGAGAGCAACGCCATCTGGGTAGAAAAGAAGGAAAGAAACACTCCAAAACCAGAATTCCCAAACGTTGGCTGGTTGCCCAACTGGCGTAATTTCAATTACGAAATAGCCACAATGCTCAATGTGGAATGAAATGTTGAATAAATACAAAAAGCTCGAAGTCATTTCCACACAGTGTTGATAAAATGAACAACAATAGATGTTCATTGAACACTGTTGTTCATGACCATGGTTGTTCATTTCATGAACACTGTGTGAAAGTGACTTTGAGTTTTTTGTATTTATTTAACATTTCATTTCCATTTGAGCACAATGGTTGTTCATATTATGAACACTGTTGTTCATGGCCATTGTTGTTTATTTTATGAACACTGTGTGGAAATGACTTTGAGCTTTTGTATTCATTTAACATTTCATTCCACTTTGAACATTGTGGCTTTTTCGTAAATTGAAACTGTTAGCATCTAGCAACTAGATGCGCTACTGCTCAGTGGAATGTGCTTAGATCAGAGCCTATGACAGACGTGTGTGAAGACTGACTCATATAGTGTTCGGCAGGCAGCCGAATTAAGAGCAAGTGTAACCCTTGTCCATGTCATATGTGCTCGTGTTTATTGAATTATGACCATAATATAACAGAAACTGATAATTATTCGCTATTCTTCTTCAAAGGGGTGCATTTTCTTCCGGAAATGAGTTCATTGGGAATAATAACTTTGTGTTCGGATGTACTACATATCCGCCACTGAACATCTACCTACTAACCTAAACTCCAGTTTCTTCTCAGAGCTCTGTACATCTTTAAAATAATCGAAATCCACGATGTTTCGTAACATAAAAACGCGGGAAACAGCAAACTTAAGCATGACGAAATAAAGCGTGACAAATCCAACGCACCGTTATTTATTTTCAGATTTCGATGAACAAAAAAGCAAATGAAATGACTTCTCAAATACTATGAGAAGGCGCTAATAATTTTTTTTCAACTGCCCGCTCTAGAACACACCAATGCACGTTATCTTCGACCTGAAAAATTGTTTTTCTTTACTACTGGTCTACTGGTCATCAATAATAAATCTCTCATTGGCTGAATGAAGTTGATTACTAATAAAGATAAATTATGATATTTTGCGATAGCTTCTATTATTTTTCACTATTGTTATATTACAATATGTTATTCATAACTTGTCAGTCATTTTTTTGCTAATAAATTCGTTCCTTAATAAAACGGATCTGTTATCTTGGAAAGTTGCAGATTATATCTTGCAACAGCGCCTAAAATACTTCTTCGAGTCCGTCCACACCACTCAAAATACTGACAGGCACAACAAGAGGAAGGAGCCATGGGTGTCTGCTTCATTCTGTTTTGACCGATAACAGTAAATTAGGAAGGATAGTATCATTGAATGTAGCCGATAGTGAGTCATTGATTCAATGATATTTTCGTTTAGGATCGAGCTTTATTCGAGATATTTCAATGCATAAATGACAAAGCCATAACCCGTCAGAATGAAGCCAACTACCCCCTGCATTCCTGCTCCGAGTGCATTTGTGGTTATGTATGTTTTTGTTTACCAGTTTTACTTCTTCTTCATTTTTTTCATTCGTTTTTCTTTCGTTAGCGATTCGTTAGCTATTCGCGAGCTATATTCTTCACCATCAGCTATTTTCAGACTAGATTCAGAATGTACCGAGTGTACCACTAAGAAAGGACGCCGGCTGTATCTCGGAAACTATTTGCCGCACAGATTTCGGAAAAAAATATTCATCATGATAAAAATGGCCAAGAAAAATCTCTGGAAATTATTTTCAAGTTTCCAGGACAGCCGCTAGAGGGCATAATTGCATTGGCCAACTTAAAAAACGGGTTTTTATGAAAATTTGGTATATCAAATCTCGAGTAGATTTCCAATCATTTCGATCAAAAAAGATTGCGCTAGCTCTTTAAATAAAAGAGGGAGAGAAGGATGGATAGTACTCTGGAAAAACTCTTATGACTACAGTTTGGTGTAACGGAATGAAGCGATCTTGGTCTCATTATGAAGGGTTTCTTAAGATCTTTCCGATAAATCACGAATCAAGTCGATTTAAATCCCGTGGTGGCCGCTAGATGGCATCGTTTGAAAAATCAACCGATTTGCCTTTTTTTTTTGAGAATTTCAAATGGAACCATATATTTTTCCTGCTATGATATGAAAGTGAAGTGAACGAGAAGAAAAATGGTGAAAACCGCGAGTTGATACTTCTTGAAGAACCGGAGAAATACTCGGAATAATATTAAGATTTAAACTGTTAGCATGTCAAATGCCTCCTCATTCGTTATCGGCATTTTGACAAATAAGCAATCCACAGTGAAAACTCTCAATGGAACTTCAATTATATTTTGACGTTTATTTCATACAAAATACAAAGCCAACTTGCCTTCTCTCATTCCTGAGCCTATACTCACTACTTACATTTCAATTAGCTATGTCATTATCTAAGAGTCTCCTTCACTATTGTGATATATAACAGCAGTTTGTGAAACCAAAATAAATGAATTACTGAAATCGTAATTTCATAGATACAGGATATTTCTGATGACGATTATTGAAGTTAGATTCCTGTGGTGACTAT